CTACCTTGGTGGGTGGCCTCAGTGTGTTTGGGTTTGGATTCTACACAGCAGTACAATTTCTTCCAGTTAAGAGTTCTTGGCTTGCACCGATCACAGGGTGGCAGGAGGGTACTGGACCAGTTTATTAGTTTTTCAAAATGCTGTCGTAGACCTGATAAATGTATTGAGAGACTTCAGGAGCTCTACATTTCAGCGACAGCTGTCAAGAGGAAAAGGAGAAGGAAGATTAGTATGGATGTTGGCATAACTCTGAAAGTAGCCAAACATTCAGTTCAAGAAAACTTTTTTTTTTTTTTGGCGGAACTGGGGATTGAACTCGGGCCCTTGTGCTTGCCTGGGAAGTGCTTATTCCACTAAGCCATCTCTCTGGCCCCTCAAGAAAACTTCTGATATAAGAGATAACCTTTCACTGATGGAGTAGCCAAACAAGATCATGTTAATAAATGCTGTGGAGTCTACAATTCCAGTTTCATCAGTGTCAAGTTGTGATGTGTTTTTACCTCCACCCTTTGTGGGCCTATGAGGTTAAGAAGTAATGCACACTAAAAACACCAACGCCTCTGACTGCACGGGCATAGCTGCTTCTAGGCTTTGCTCGGAGGTACAGGAATCACTGCCAAACGAACAGGCACACGTAGAGGCTCTTAACTTGGTGATGGTCAGTGTCAGGTTCTGCCCCAGCTTCTCAGTCTGACAAGGAGGATGGTTCTCCAGTCTCCGCTTCATTAAAGATTAGCTGCTGCTTTCCATAGGCCAACCAGTCTCCACTTTATAAGATCCCATCAAAATAAAGTGTGAGTTAGGAGGGTCCCTTCTGGGTTGCTCCACCTAGTGCATACTACTGAGGAGGGAGACAAGCACGGACAAGCACTTCTGTAAGCGGACAGCTATGTGTGTCGTCTTTCACTTTCTGCCTCTTTAGACAGGCAAAAGGTCAAAAAGATACTGGTTAACCCTGAATAACTGACATTCTAAAAACAAAGTAAAATAAAAAATAAACCAATTGAAGAAATGAACATCAAAAGACACTTATTTAAAGCTTTAATATGTTCCTGCCAGCTTGAATGCTGTACTATTGAGTGGCTTTTACCAGCCAGCAGGACTGTCCCATGCCACCACAAGTATGTTCAGTGCTTAAATTAGAAATACTATTCCATTAATATTGTCATTAATCCCCATTAAAATACAAATATTCCCCGTCATTTCACACATACCCCATATTCTACCACTTTCTGAAGCAGTCCTGTAAGTCCTCTTAAGTACTGTCTTTAGTTATACTGTTATGATTGGCTCAGTGTTCTGAACTGACACAGAACACTACCCTTTCATGGTCATTTTTTTTTTTTTTTCCAGAACTGGGGATTGAACTCAGATCCTTGTGTTTGCCAGTCAAGTGCTTATCCTACTGAGCCATCTCCCTGGCCCCTTTCATGGTCATTTTGGCTTTGAGGCAGAGATAGAAGTAGAATGGTGCCACATCCAGTGAACAGACCGGATGAGGGCATATCACAATGTTTTCACATGTGTGTCTTCCTCTTAGATGGCATCTGGTGACAGCAGCAGCATTCATCATGTTTTTTTTTAATCTCACTTCATAAAGACACTCATGAAAGAGGACTTCCAGGAATGTTTCAGAAAGTTGCAAGACCAATGAGATAAGTACTTTCAAAGTGAGAGGGAGTGGGTTAGGGAGATGGCTCAGTAGAATAAGCACTTGCCTGGCAAATGCAAGGTCCTGATTCAAACCCCAGTACTGCCAACCCCACCCCCCCAAAAAAATCAATAACCTTAAAAAACAAACAAACAAAAAACAAAACAAAAAAAGGGCTGGGGAGACAGCTCATTAGAATAAGTGCTTGCTTGGCAAGTGCAAGGGCCTGAATTCAATCCCCAGTTCCGGGGGGGGGGGGGATCTGTGAGGGGGAGTATTTTGAGGAAGATTAATGGCAATGTATCTTTTGTGTAATAATTTTTTAAAAAAATGTAAAAATTCCCTGTATATTTCCATATCACCTCATAGCTAGGACTCTGGGTTTCCCTTTGTATGGCTCCAAGGGAAAAGAGGCCTCTTCTGGTTCTTACACTTTTGAACTGCTAGCATTTAGGTGGCACATACTTTACAATCAACTCTCAGAAATGCTGTCCATCTGGATCCACCTAGGGAGAAGAGTCACTTGTCCTGCCTCATCAAAGCCAGGACTCACATATCCACTCATGTATAGTCTGGGACACATGCTTCTTCAACTGAACAAGTTATCTTTCCAGGTGAGACTTCCCTAATTGTAGAGATATGGCCTTGGCCTTATGGGATTAACATACCTTATTAATGGAACACGGTTGGAGGGAAGTGTTGTATCAACTTGTTTTACAGGACTAAGAGACTATCACTCTTTTTTTTTTTTTGCAGAACTGGGGATTAAACTCAGGCCCTTGCAAGTGCTTATTCTGCTGAGCCATCTCCCCATCCCTGGGACTACCACTCTTTATGCACTAGTATGGGATAAGCCAGATTTTGTGAACACTGAGCTGAGATCAGCTCACTAGTGTAACGGGTGTTTACAGCGATGGAAAGAAAGAATGGATCTGCGTGATTATTACGAAGTCTCACATACCACTTAGGGAAATGGATTAGATTTAGGTACTGCGATGAAAGATTTAGAATCTAGATGGCATTGTGGGCAGAGGGTTCCCAGTTAGCAGTTAGTTGAAGAATAGAAAAGAAGGCAAGCAAACATAAATGAATTTACCATTTAAAAATACGGGGGAAGATGGAAGGTAGGTGTAGCTAAAAAGGATACCATGAGGACAAAAATCTCACCATGTTATCTCTTCTCCTTTCTTGCCCTCCCCTTTCTTTTTTTCTTTCATGTGCATTTCTCTTGTGCTGAATTTATTCCTAGGGCTTAAGCTCTTATTATGTGCAGGCTCCTCTTCTGGTTTATGAATAGCTTCTTCTCTTTTGGTAGGATCATCTCAGTGTGACAGGGAGCTCCCATATAGGTTAATCCCACCATGAGCTCTGTCAGTATGGTGGCACCTCTGGGGGTTCTGTTCACCAGTAAGTGCTCAATGACCATAAAATTTATATCTAAACCTTTAAGTTCAGGAGCACTCTGCACTTTTAAGCATGTGCAGCACAGATTCAGCACTCTTTTACGGCCACCAACCCTGTATAGCCTAGTGCACCTCACACCACTACTGTAATGTAGGAATGGCATACACTGCTTCTATAAAGTGACAACTATCAGATACTTGGTGACTTTTTGGATACAGATACTTCTGAAGACCTCGGCAGTTCCAGGTACTCTTAAAGTAAACACAATGACCTGAATTTCTTTATTTGCATACCTGTGTTCTGGGTGCAATAAATATATTTTTCAGCGATCACCTCAAGAGTGTTTATAGGAAGAACTCACTATGCTATTTCTGGGGCTGGTGAGATGGCTCAGTGGTCTAAAGCACCTACTTAGAACAAGCTTAGCAAAGCACAAGGACCATGGTTCAATCCCCCAGCACCACATGCCAGCCAGCCCCGCCCCCTGGTGGGCTGATCTGGCCACACACACACACACACATAAATAAAATAAAATTAAAAAAAATAAACTATGCTATTTCTTTCTTTTCTTTTTTCTTTTGCAGAACCGGGGATTGAACTCAGGGCCCTGTGCTTGCCAGGGAAGCGTTTATTCCACTGAGCCATCTCCCCGGCCCCTCACTATACTATTTCTTACAAATGTGTGTGAATCTATAATTATCTCAGAATAAAAACATTTTAAAAAATATAAAGAAGAAGCTGGGTAAGCCCTTGTAATCCTAGCACTCCAGGAAGCTGAGGCAGGAGGATTACAAATTTAAGCTCAGTCTGGGCAATTTAGTGACAGGGATTCAAAACACACCTGGGGATGCAGCTCAGTGTGAATCCCTAGTAATACCCAAAAAACTCCCAAAAGGGGGAAAAAAAAAAGAGAAGAAGAAAAAAAGAAAACTTCAAATTGTGGCCCATGCACACAGTGGGTCAACTTCCGTTGATCTTAAAAGAGAGCCAACTACTGATATGTTTAACAACTCAGTGGGTGCCAAACTCCTTTTGCTAGATGCAAAAAACAATCTCAGCAGGTTACCTATGTACAAATTTAATTAATGTAGTATTTTTAAAATGACACACATAGTGGTTGAATATATAGTGGTTGCCAATGTTAGGGTAAGGTTGAGTCTGATTATGAAGGGACAGCAAGAAGTTTTTCTGTGGAACATGAATGATTCTGTGTCTGAAGGGTGTGGTGGGGGTGACGATGAATCGACAGTGGTGCCACAGTTCATGAACTTAATTCTTTCCATGATTTTATTTTATTTTTTGTGGAACCGGGGATTGAACTCAGATCCTTGTGTTTGCCAGTCAAGTGATTATCCTACTGAGCCATCTCCCCGGCCCCTCTTTCCATGATTTTAGTTGCAAATCAAACTGAATGAGAACCAATCAAACTCAATGGTTAGGTTCAATTCAGTTTGTGACCAAACTCGTGGGAAGAATTAGGTTCATGAACTGAGTTATCACTGTATGTCAATTAAAATAAAGGACTTGTGATGTAAAAACTGGTAAACTCTGAATAAGGTGTATAATTAACTGCATGTTGTCAAAGGGAAAGGCCTTACCGTATAATTGGGGTTTCCTGGCTGGATGCGTAGCTCAGCCAAAATCCAAATGCCATTAGTGAGCTTTAGGGATTGGTACAGCATGTCCTGCCCTTCCACATTCCTCTTGGCAATAGTATAAACATTGTTGTTTTGCAACTTGCTGGAAACAGTGTCTAGAAATACAACATCTTCAGTTAGAATCACAAACAAATGCACAGTAAGGTTCTTCTAACATCCTCATGAGGCACATGTGCTCAAGTTCTTTGACAAGTACCATCATGTGCCCAGGTACACCTTTCAGGAAGTCGTTTTCCCACAAACAGCAAATGGTGAGGAACAGGCTTGTGAAGTGTCTGCCTAGTAGACATCCAGAAAACAGCAAGACACACCTAAGCATTTAAAAGTGTAAGAGTTAACCTGCAGAGATTTAAGAGCTGAGTTGGCCTAAGGATTTATTAGTCCCAACTGTGTGCCAGAAAGGCTAATCTGAAGGGGATGAAGACAGAGATGAGTGTGTGGGGTGTATTCATTTCTGGAATGCTGGTCCTAGGTCAGTGGGGATACACAGACTGATGGGCAACTCCCCAACTCTCCTTCCCAAGTCATCACTATTTCAGTGTCTGTCACTTGGGCCTCAGCTGTCAGGATCAGAAGAGGATGCACAGTTGCAGAAGTTCCTCAAGCCAAATTTAATAATGTAGATACTTGCATTTCCCTTTCCTTCCTTCCTCTTCTCGTGTGTGTGTGTGCGCGCACACGCACACACGTGTCGCTATACATCGGAGTGAGGGTCTGCTTCAGACTTTATGGTAGGAGACAGACACGAGAGTGGGAAGGGGAATTAGAAAGCTCAAACTGCAGTACACATATATGTATGTACCAATCCCCAAAATGAATGTATTATGTGTTCAACACTTAATAAAAAAGACTTTAGGGTCCATCATGGCCCCAAATAAATAAGGTGACAAACAGTCTCAATAAGACTTCGAGAGAGACTGAAGCTCTACAAAGGTGACTGGGGCTACGCCCTGAAGTCCCAGATGCTGCTGCTAGTCACGGTGGAAGTCTTCATTGCTACTACTTCAGGGGAGGCACAGGTTGGTGTTTAGGCTCTTTCTCCTGACTGCACACAGCATGAAAGGAGACAAACAGAAATAAAGGTCACTTCTCAAAGTAGATGCTGCAGCACAGAGAAAGAGAAACTTTAAGAACAGAGATGATAAGCACTGCTTCTTTGTTAACTGTTTATTATGTTTATTTCTTAAGAGATTGCAAGTTATTCATGCCGACTTCAGGAAATAAGTTCTCCCACATAAAAATCTGTCATATTCTAGTGAGCTCTCTAGGAAAAGGTGTGCAGGATGGCCTACCCTCCTAAACGCAGGCTCTCAACCCAGGGATCTTGTGGAGTTTTCAGCATCATCCTTTCCACCACACTTGGGACACCACAGGTAAATGTCATCAATACCTGTGAATGTGTCTGACATGGGAGTTAGAAATGCCAGTGTGTGCAAAACACTAGCGACATAACCATCCACTCAGATAGCAGGCTCCTTCTGGAAGCACTTCTCAGCCTGAAGTCCCTTTCCCACACTTACCAGCAAAACTCTGAGGAAGATGTACGAAGGTGACATTCATTCTTTATTTTTACCACACTTAGTTCTTACTTTTCTTCTTCCATCTCCAAGATTTTAACCAACACCAAGTACAACAGTTACCATTTAAGGATTGGTTCTGTTTGAGGAGCCAAGTGTATCTCAGAGTAGTTACATGCAATACTGCTGGAGAAGGGGGCCTCCACAAGCCCTGCAATCACCTTGTGGGGGGTCAGACAGTTCTTGCTGTCTCAGTGAAGGTTACTAAGCTTAGAACAGGTTACTAAGCAACATCACCAGCAGGAGCTCGGCAAATTCTTCTGACAGGATTGTCTTTAAAGCATAGAGGCTTGTGTTATGTTATAAAAGCTATTCCTAACTTTCAAGGCCTTTGCTCTTTTCCATCAACAGAAAACACTCTAGGAATGTGGTTGAAGAATCACTGTGTGCACAGGTGTGAGCACATTCCACAAATATAGCAAGGCCCAGATGCTGCCAGACTTCTTACAGGTGCGCCATTTACCTTCAAGAGGCGAAAGACCAGGAACTGGGCTCTGTTCGCACTGAATGAACTGCGGCACTGCGATTGCCATCAGAGGACCAAAGGGGAGAAGGGCTCTACAACATGCATGTGCGCCCCTCTCCATCAGCAGCCCTCATATTTTAGATGCTAAGTTTTAGGCTGAAGATATACAGATATGAACTAATCAGATTGTGGTAAATACACTGATTACGAGTCGCAATGGAAACTGGACACAGGAGCTTCCTTGCCAGTCTGGATTAGATCTTTTTAGGTAAGACCACACCATACTTTTTTTTTGTACTGGGAATGGAACTCAGAACCTTGTGATTGCCAGGCAGGTGCTGTGCCACTGAACTACATCCCCAGCCCTTGAATTGAGGTGATGTAGCTTAGCAGCTTAAAAAGATTCCAATGTTTTTTTTAACACTGGAGAGTGAACCCATGGTCTCCAGCATGCTAGGCATATGTACTACCACTGAACTATAAGCCCAGCCCTTTCCTCCTGCCTGAACCCCAAGCAGCTGAGATTGCAGACCTGTTCCTCTATATCCCTGGCTAGAATAGACATCATACCAACTTTTTGTTTTATATACCTACACTCTGGAAAATAAGATGAAGTCCTGTAGTAGGGAGACTGTGAGAATGAAAGCGCAACACAACTTATTCTTCTCGTTTTCTCTTTCTTACTTATGGTCACATTTCTTCTGGCCACAGTAAGAGTAAAGAAGATACTCAGAGGTAGAGAGGAGTAGAGAACTTTCATTTGTGACCCTGCTTGGGCATTCAATTAACAAGTTCAAAGCAAGTACGTTCAGAGCAAATGAATGAGTTAAGTACTGTAGGGAAGGTTTCCAGTTTTGAAAAATTCTAATGGATGACAGGAAGTGCCACAATACATATAGGAAGTGGTGGGCATGGTCATGCATACCTGTAATTCTAGCACTCAGGAAGCTGAGGCAGGAGGATCCGTGTAAGTTCGAGGCCAACTCAGGCAACATAGTGAGCTCAAGGCCAGCTTGTACTACACATAGTGAGACCCAATATCAACAAACAAACAAACAAACAAACAAACAAACAAACAGAATTTGGCCTCTCCTAGTGCCGATATGTGAAGAAGTACCTGTTACCATGCTTAACTAGTGAAAACAGACACATCATGTCTCTGAGCTTTACAAAGTAGAATACTTGAAGATGCAACTTCTTATATACCTAAGGTAGCATTCCCAGGTATGTATGTTTATGTGTGTGTGTGCGTGTGAGTGTGTGTGTGTATATATTATTTTATTATATATATTTTTTTACTTATAGTGCATGGTCTACAGGATTTATAGGTTCTCACTAACTACGTAGATTGGACCTGTAGTGATCCTCCTGTTTACAGCTTCCCAAGTGCTGGGATTACAGGTGCACACCACCACGCCCAGTCTCAATCACCCTCTCTGCACACCCCAGGGGTGGGGCTGGCTTGGCAAGCCCAGGGATTGAACCCCCAGTCCCGAGTCTTCCTAAACAGAAGCTTTAATTTGCTAAGCTACCTGGCCAGCCCTCCCAGGTATCTATTAACCTCAATTGCTGCTGCAATGGTAACAAGTAGAACAAATTCAGACACCCGTAGAAGACATCAGTGCTGGGAAGAAGGGGTCTTGTTTACTGGTTTCTTTCTGGTATAAAATTTTCTAGTATTTATAACTAATGATACCATAAACACTGTTACATGTACATCTTTCTATTAAGATCTTGGGCCAGCCAAATAGCTCAGTGATTAAAAGTGCGCGTGCTTAGGCAGACGCAGGGGCCAGGGGGTTTGATCCTGGGGCCTGCCATGCTGACCCTGCCCCTGGGGCGCGCTGAGATCGCGATTGAGACTGGGCATAGTGGCGCACACCTGTAATTCCAGCACTTGGGAGGCACAGGAGGATCATTACAAGTCTGACCTATGTAGCGAGAACCTGAAAAACTCTGTAGACCCTGTATTAAAGGGTCTACATTTCATTTTTATTTTTACTTTTTTAAAAAATAATTTATTTATTATGTGTGTGTGTGTGTGTGGCCAGCTCAGCCCACCAGGGGGCGGGGCTGGCTGGCATGTGGTGCTGGGGCATTGAACTGCAGTCCCTGTGCTTTGCCAAGCTTGTTCCAAGTAGGTGCTTTAGACCACTGAGCCATCTCACCAGCCCACTAAATACATTTAAAAAAAAAAGATTTTACTAAGACTTGGGAAGAGGGTTTCTTCTCTAGAGATGAAACAGCGAAAGTAAAAGCTCGATGCTAGGCTGGTAAGTCCTTTAAGACTGTGACTTCCTGTAGCCCTCAGAGTGTTCATTCCATCTGTCACCCATCTTTGCTAGCACAGAAAAGCTATTTTAAGTGTTGCTGCTATTGTGATTAGGGCAGATCAGCTGGAAAGAAGGTTATTTTTAGCTCTCAGCTAGGCCTAGGGTGTTGAATAAGAAGGGATTAAACCTGTAAATGCTCCTGTTAATAGAACCATCAAGACTGGAAAGAAGCCAGACATGGTGGTGCACACCTGTAATTCTAGTTTGGGAGGCTGAGGCAGGAGGCTTGCTGGGAGTCTGAGGCCAGCCTGGGCTACACAGTGAGCTTAAGGGCAGCCTGCACTACAAAGTGAGTCCCTGCTGCCCCCACCCAACACTGGAAGGAAATGTAAAGCCCAGGAGCTCCACACCTGGGTGGAGTCAAAAGAAGAACGTTAGTTTTAGGAAGCTGTCTCGCAAGATTAGCAGTGATATAGTGTGGGAAAATGATGGCACTGGGCTCTTGGAGAAAACAAACTGTTTTTCCTTGTGTTCTATGTGCTCCACTGTCAGAGAATGGCTTGTCACTGAAAAACCAGTTCATTTGGTATTTAGGGCACCTAAGGCAGAGAGGAACTGGCACGAGGCCATGGCAGAATAAACGAATCCACCCTAAGGACTACATCACTTGGAAAGAACACAGCCTCACTTGAAGAAAGGCCAGGCACTTCCTTTCTCAGGAAATCGCCATCACCAAAGTGCAGTAAGGGTTCGAAACTGACCAGGAAGCAGGGGGATCTTTTCTTTTTCTTATTTTGGCAGGCCAGAATAAAGTCCTAAGTCACTCAAATTTCTATTTTCTTTTTTGAATAAGCAAGTCCCTTTCAAAGTGGACTTCCAAAATGAAACCTGCTTTCCAGTTACTCTGACCTTTGTTTGCTGTCTGTAGTTCAGCACTTCTCAGATCATGTTCAAGGAACAATGGAGTTCCAGAAGATGTTAACAATAAGCTGAGTGCGGTGGTACACACTTGTAATCCTAGCTCTCGAGGCTGAGGCAGGAGGACTGCTGTACGCTTGAGATTTCTATACAAAATAGCTTGGTTGACATACAATATAAGCTGCTATCTCAAAAAACCCAACCCAACCCAACCCAAACCAAACACACTTGGTGATTTAAAATTCCAGTCAAATAAATTCAATGAATACTGAGTTAAATGTGTTTTCTTCAAAAAAGGACTTCTCAAGAGTTTTTAGTGTGCCAATGTGAAACTTTTTTTAAAGAGAGTGATATCACATGTTTTGTTTTTTTAATTTTGGCCACAGAACTCCCTTTTCTGGGGAACCAGTGCCTCAGGAACATCGTACTTGAAATGTTTCCAGTGGACCAACTACCATGGGGTGACATTTAATACAGAACCTGGTCTCTCTCAAGTGGGGAGGAGAGGTACTTTTAATGGTGATTAAAGAGGTCAGTAGCATCATAGGAAAGCTGACAAAAGGCAGGGGGAAAAAAGAGCTATCAGTCAGGTTTCAAACCTGTTAGTTGGGCTAGGGAGATAGCTCAGTGACATAAGTGCCGCCTGACAAGCACAAGGTCCTGAGTTCCATCGCTGGTACCCCTGCCACCTCCCACCAAAAAAGCAACATAAACCCATTAGCTTGTTTCTTTAATCTAATGGGACCCTCTCCGGTTCTCAGCTCTAGCCACTGTAGATTCAGCACCCAGGGACTTCCAAGTTGCTCATTCTATACAAAGCTATTCCCCAGCTCCTGTGCTCACCTCTGAGGTTCATGGCTAACCGACTAGTGAGCCTCAAAGGTAGGGACAGATAACACTGTCACTTACTTAAAAGAGTACAGCACACAAAGAAGAAAATCAACTAATTATTTTGATGGAAATCACAGAAAACTCTCCTCAAACATCTCTCTATAGAGGTTGAAGGGATGTTAGACAAACCTTATAAGAAGTGAGCCTGTGTCTACAGTTTTTATTTTAAAGGACATCAGGCTGTCTTTTAGTCAGGGGATTCAGCCCCCTGAAGGTCTTCAAGAATTATTACTGGATCATCATTTTTAAAACAGGCATTGTAGAAAGAAGCTTAGCACTATGAAGCTGGATTTCAAAAGTGCTAATATAAAAAGAGTTTTCTGAAAAGATGAATATAGAAAACCAAAATCAAAAGCTGAAAACAAAATGTCAGAATGAGAAGACAGTATGTAAATCCAGGCCTGGTGGCGCACACTCGCAATCCCAGCACCTGGGAGGCTGAGGCAGGAGTATTACCACTAGTTTGAAGCCAGCCTGGTCTCCAGAGTGAGTTCAATGCTAGCCTGAACTTCACAGTGAGATCCCGTCTCAAAGAATAAAACAAAAACAAAAATCACAGATCAACCAAACAAAAGCCTCCAAAATTCCAAAGGCAGCTTGTGTGGTTTTTTCCTCTATCTTTTTATACTGTACTGCCTCTTTGCCCCAGTGTTCTGCTCCAACTCAATGCAAAGATGCAGAGTGCTGGAAGACCCTGTGAGAACCATCAATGCAGAGAGCAAAGAGGAGGCGCTGCCCAAGCACCAAGGCTCACTTGCCTTCCAAGCCAGAAAGACAAAATTGCACTAACGTCTAAATGTGTTTGTGCCTGTGTGTAAAATACAAAAGGTAGAACTCTGAACAGAAATATTCCAGTAAAACAAAGCCCTACAGATGACAGCTGCTATTGTTTATTCTCTTAGGTTACCCCTTTTTACGTTCTATTACAGTAATAAACCACAAAAGGTTCTGGAGATTTTTAATGGTGATTAAAGAGGTTAGCAGCATCACAGGAAAGCTGACAAAAGGCAGTACAAAAACCAAACCAAATCAAACCAAAAACCACACAGAACTATCATCTAGGCTTTAATCAACCATGACATAGTCTTTCATTATAAATAGGATTCTAAGTATAGGATCTCAGAAAGTCAGCCACTTTTCCTCCATTATCAAAAGCTGCTATATAAAAGACAAATGGTCCCTTCAATTTTTTTTTTTTTTTTTTTTTTTTTGTAGCGGGGATCCAACTCAGGACCTTGGGCTTGCCAGACAGGCAGATAAGCCATTAAGCTATCCTCCTGCCCTCCTCCCTTTTTTTCTTTTTTACTTTTTGAGACACGGTTTCACTATGCATTTCAGGCTGCCTTGAACTCACTTTGTAGCCCAAACTGGCCTAGAATACGCAGGTCCTTTCAATTTTTAGGAGAATACCTATCATCAGGAGTCACTTCCATTACTTCATGCCTGGTATGTTGAAGACGATTAACACATCTTCAACCACTGAAGCACTGGGTAGGCGAAGATGAAGGTGAAATTTAATTATTACGTACCAGCATTTAAATGACATTCCTTAATCTGAAACTGGAGTTCATTTTCATTGGGAATATCCTTCCATGTTGCCAGGAAGACTTGGCGCTCTGTGTAGGGAAGGAAGCACAGGGGCAGGGCAAATGTGCACAATCTGTTACATTCTCATCTTTGATGCCTTGCACCACTTTTCCTGTATGCTGGCTCTTGCAATACAGCTAGCAGAATTGGAGACAATTTTTAGCTGGGCCCAGGTGGTATATCCTCCAGGTCCATTAGCTCCACATCAATAGCATTCAGATGCATTGGCAAAGAGTCTACTTTCAGTTCTGGCTCTTTAGTTTTCCTATTTGAGTGACCTTGGCTAAGTCCAGTGATCCTATATTGAGCTTCAATTTCCTCACAGATAATTTTATCTGTCCTACTGTAAAGTTCAAATAAATGCCAGTACAATTTAACAGGTACCAATATAAGTTAGTTTTATTGGAGGTGGTTTCATAAACAGAGGAAGAGAAATGCCAAAGGTCACATGGAGTACTAATGGTTTATTATTACAAAGTACTGAATTCTTGAGCCAGTTTGAACATAGTACAGGGTTAAGTGCTAAATTTATGTGCTTCACCCCATTAAGTCTTATAAAAACTATTTCTGTTTTGCAAACTTGGAAAATGAAATAGAAAAGCTAATCATCTTGTCCAGGGCCACACAGTTAATAAATAGCAGAACTAAGATTCAAATTCATATCTTCCTCACCTCAAACCTCTTACTCTGCATCTTAGGACACAGATCTGATTGGCTTATGCAGATAATGGGCATGGTGATTTAGAGACTAATGGCAGAATAGCAAAAGGCCACTGAGACTTGAGCAGATAAATGAGCAATTATTAGGGATTTAGAATATTTTTACCCAATTATCTTTAAGCCTTACAGTAACTTGTGCTTCTGGTTATGCTCTGTCTGACATTCAGAGGAAGGGCAAAGGTATATTTAGCAAAGGACAGGAGGACAAACTCACCCATTTTGCCATCTTCTACAAAAAGTACATTGAGTGGGATGAGGCAGCTGAAGTAGAAGACATCAATATTGTTTTTAACAGCCACCTGCCAAGAAAGCAACAAGGGAAAATGAGGACATCCTAGGAAGCCAGGTAGGAGGGAAAGAACAGTGGTGCGTCTAGAAGTCTATCTCTTGACTTTCTCTTAGTCAGTGCAGGCCTCCTCAACCAGGCATTGCAGCCTATACAGTCAAAAGCACATCCACCCTTCCTTATTCCACCGACAAAGCTGTGGCCACCTGCGCTTTACCTCTCTCCAGGAGGGCTCTCAAGGCACAATTCCAATGCCCAGAATAATGTATTTACCTACTTTTTCTACAATTAAAGTATTTTTTAGTTGACAGTTGCTATGATTACTCATACTAGGTTGCTATCACTTACCAGGTACCTACTAATATTATTTCTATAACTATCCCAAACAAAGTAGGCATTATTCACAATCCCTTTCATTTTACAGATACAGAAACTGATGTTCACAGTGACATAACATCCAGGGATATAGAATCAGGGTACAGATTCAACTCTGTCTTGATCCTAAACCTGGGTTACATTTCTTCCATAATTACTACTGCAATAATTCCTGTAATTATACTTTTTCAGATACAAGTTTTAAAGTTATTTCTCTTATAGAATCTTGTTTCCAGGTCCTATCAAAAAGTTTGTTGTATTGAACACTGGACAACTTGATGACTATAAAAAGGAAAAGACTTTAGGCAAGTCAAGAAATTAGGTTTTGGGACCATGGAGATAGCTTGCCTGGCAAGCACAAGGTCCCAAGTTTGATCCCTGGTACTATAAAAATAAATAAATAAATAAATAAATAAATAAATAAATAAATACAAATTAGTTTTATTCTCACAATACACATGCTTGGGTTGTGATTTCGCATGGTCTCTTAATTCAGAGCATGCTGCTTTTAAAAATGCTATACTTGGCATTTTTATTTGGGGCGACACTGATTGACATGACTCAAGAGGCGGCAGACTGCACTGCATAGATTGTAAGATGCACATATGAAGATGAAGGAAGAGAACTTGTCGAAACTATCACCCCATCAGTTCCTGTCACCAGTGACATTCCTACCTATGCTCTTAGCACTGCAAGCAGAACAGTTCTCTGGGCAAGTTTTGCAATCAGTAACTATTTCATCTTATTTTGCTCTAAAAAAATAAGCAAAAGTGCTTGTTTAGTACCACTATTCTTCCTCTTATTTTTTTTTTTTAATGGAAAATGTCTGTACTTCATTTGCATATCTATCTCCCCATCAAAATCTTGGCTATGAGATCCAAACATCATCTTTCTGATCCACCTGCAGACCTTTTACATTTGTTCTTTTTCTGACTGAAACAGTACCTTTCCTTCCTCTTCCATGATTGTTTAGCTCTGTCTCCCTGACACAGTCTTTCTGATCTCTCTCCCTGGAGAATCCTTCTAATTACCTTTCTAGTAGCTTGTGTTCTTAACCTTCCAATTATCAAGACTAGGAGTTTCTAACCTGTGTCACAGAGCCCAATGCCCAAAATGCTGAAGCATGATTCCCAGAAAGACAGAGCAGAGTGAAAGGACCACAGACATCCTTTAAGACTCACCAGAGCACTACCTGCAAAGACTTATTCTAGCTGTGGACTTCTGGGAAACAGGTATTTTCTAACTCATCTGGTACTCAGCAGATGAATTAGAGAAGAGAATTCATATTTCAAATAAGGGCAACAAGGAGATATTGAAGTGCCAGGCGCTATAAAGAGCGTTTAGAAGTGAAAGCTGGGAGATGGGGTGGGCTAGTCATGGGTCATATTACAGTGTCTAGTAATATGTGAGTGACTAATTACTAATGACTAAACATTTTCTCCCCTTATGATGTTGGAGACTGAATTCAGAGGTACTCTCCTACTGACTTGCATTCCTACACCTTTTTAGCTTTTTATTTTGAGAAGGAGCTTGCAAAGTACCCAAATGAGCTTGAACTTGTCCTCCTGCTTCAGCCTCCACAGTAGCTGAAATTATGCCCCACTATGCCTGGTTTATTACTCTCATGAAGACAAAGCAGTCATATTTCAAAACATTCTCTCCACTAATATTTATAATATTTATTAATGCTTGTCTCAGTTACTCTTCCTTGTTGCTGGGACAAACAGCCGACACTCAAAATTAGGGAAGGAAAGGTTTATTTAACTCACAGTTACTGGAGGTTTCAGTCCATACTCAGCAGGCTCCAAGACAGAGTGACACATGGCAGACAGCAACCTCTCATGGTGATGGCAAAGAGCAGAGAGCAAATGGGAGGAGTAGCAGCAACAATGCCAACAGAGAGCAAGTCTTTCTCCCTTAAGTCGCATTCTGGGTATATGCCCAGGCTGGGTGTAGTACTCACACCCACAGTCCCAGTGGATCATGAGTTAATCACAAACTTGAGAAGTCCACCCTATGACTGCATGAGGCTTTGGGGGCTCAACTAGATACAAACTGTAACAATGCTTACTATGTCCTAAGCATTTGAGTTATTAAGGATAGGCAGAGAAAATATCTTTGTCCTCCACAGCGGAGTGGTTCTTAACCAAAGACATATCGGCATCATCTAGACAGGGCCAGGGATACAGGCCAGTGGCACAGTGCCTGCTTGATAAGCGTAAGGTCCTGTGTTTGGTTCCTGGTTAGATGGTTAGATAGATAGATACCATCATCTAGATAGCTTTTTCAAAACAGATGCCAGAGACTCAATCTATGGGAAAGAATCACAATTTCTAAATCTGGAACCAGGCTTGAGAATTTTGGGAAATCTACCTAGGCAGACCAATCAGATAATAATTAGAACAGTGCTGAAGAAGAAGCCAGAATGACCCCATAAGCACCCTGTCCTGAGGAACCACTATTCTGATCAGTGTCCTTTTCACAATAGAAAATCCATGAAATACTCTTGTAAGAGATGCTAGACTAGGTCCTTTTGATAAACAGATGAAAGCCAAGACCTCTCTTGCTGAGAAATGAACATAACATGTAATATTTTGACATATAATTTCAGTGGCTTCAAGACAATCTGAAGACCATCCCAGGACTTTTGCTCTACTCCAGACTAATATCTTGAGAAAGGGACACTCTACCTAGAGACAGCAGACGTAGGTTTTCAGAACAGTCTTAAGAGTCAGAATATCTGACTTCAAATCCTGATCTAACACTTGCTAGCTGCTGTGACTTTAGGCAAGTAGTGCTCTGATCAGTTTTCTGTCTGTGAAAATGAGACCACAACAGTATTCATATTCAATTCATGAGGATGTTACAAGGATAATGAATTAATACTTGCAAAGTATGTAGAACAGTACCCAATCCCAACAAATACTACAGCAACTGTTTGTTCAGCAAAGAAAAACTCCCTCTACTTCATCTCCTGTTTTATGGGAGGAGAGTGGGTACAGTACTGGGACTGAACCCAGGACTTCTGCACTCAACTGTATACCCAGCCATTTTTAATTTCAAGACAGGGGCTTGGTAAGTCTTTGAGTTGCCCAGTCTAGGGTTGGACTTGTGATCCTTGCCTCAGACTCCCAGAGTACAGGGACTATAGGCATGTGCCACTGCTCCCAGCTCTCTTTTTCTTTTTACTGAGACATTTTCATAATTAAGGATAACCACATTAATCTTACTTGAAATCTTTTATATACTCAAATTAGTATTACTATTATCAAAAATAGATGGCTCGCTTGGATCAGTTCCTGCCCACCTCTGCAGACTATTCCTTCATTTCAAACCTATCAAAATTACTGTTTAGTCCTCTAATACTGAAACTCATAGTTCTGAGCCTTTAAAAAAAAATACGGTGTTCTTTCCACTTATTATATTTTTCTTAAGCTTTGCCTGTGTGGAGAATATGTATTTAACTTAAGATCCAGTTCGGTCCTGAGATTCCTTGGGAAGTTCTAACCCTTCCTCATAGCACCCAGCGCAAGCACCTCTCTGACAGCAGAGAACTGTTTACACCAGGCTCAACTACGATGAACTCTGTGAGTACAGGGACTGTCTTCAGTTCACTAGTATATTGTCTGTCTGGTTCAAAATATATAAAATTAAGAAGATGGTAAATAAATGGAATGAAATAACAGCTTGTCAATTTTTTCTAGCTCCAGCTCATTCATATGTTCATTATTCCATCAGGAACATTTTGCATTGAGCACACGGATCCTCAGTGAGGTAGGGATGAGGGATGCGAGGATGTGAAGGAAATTTTAATTTGAATCACTGAGCTAAAGTAACACTGTATCTAAGCCTAAGGAAGAATAGCATACTTAGTGGATCACAATCCAAACAATGTTAGAGTCACCAAAAATACGTCAATCATTCTTTGGATGTTTAGGCAAAATTAAGACCCAAGAGAAAACAGAGCTGAAGGTAGTTCAAATCCCTAATTGTGATGATGACTACTCTTGAAAAAGCTGAATCGGCCTTATACTGATTAAGAAAATGGGAAGGGGCAAGGCAGGAGTTCCTTGCTTTGTTTTTTGTTGAGGTGCAGGTCTTACACTGTTGCCCAGGTTGGCCTCAAACTTGAGGTCCTCCTGTTTCAGCCTCCCAGATAGCTAGGATTACAGATGTGTACCACTAGGCTTAGCTTCTGTTTTATTTTAAAGTCTACTATCCCAATAGGTTCAGAATGTGAAGATACAATCTAGAGAGGATGGATAGTGACTTTCCAAGAGTTTAACTGCATGCATACCTAGCTTGCCTATGGGAAATCAATGAATCAATCTGTCTGTCCACCTGCATGCCTGCCTGCCTGCCTACCTACCTCCCTACCTATCTGCCTACATAACTCTTCACTTTGAAAACAGATACCCCAAAAGGAACATGTCCAAAATAAACTCTTCACCTCTTTGTGCCATCCCCAAATACAATATACTGCTGTCTCACCAAACTCAGCAAGTGGAATACTGCAAAACCTTTTAAAGTATCCTTACTTAAAAAAAAAAAAAGGAATAAACAATTACATATTTTTACACAGAAATTTAGAAATCACTGACTGCCCTTGTCAGATACAAAAGTTACACTTGTTATATA